CAGGTGGGGGCGGCCGCGCCGGGGGAGGGGGCGGCCCCAGGCAGCCCAGCCCGGGTCCACCTCGCCGCTGCCGCGGGCGCTGGTGATGCGCGGCGGACCCGGCCTGCTCCCGGGATTTAGCTGGGGGTCGTCTGGGACCCAGGCACCCGCAAAATGACCGGCCTCTCGAGCCTCCCAGGGCTCCCGAAGGAAAACCTGTTTGGCTTCCTCTGTCTACGCAGCTCCCCTCTCGACTGAAACCACTGGTCCAAGACAGCCACAATCCAGATATACTAGCAAGTCATAAAACTGAACAAAAGCCGACAAACCTTACGGCACCAGGGCTATAGGGCCCAGACAAATTACGACCGTCTAGGTAATATTTAAATAGATGCCTAAAGTAATTGCAGGGGGCTTGGGTCAGTCCCCCTGTTGTAAAAGTGGTGGACGGGATAGAGTGGAAGGTGAAGATAAGAAGTCAAAAAAGAGGTAAAATTTAAAAAGCTTCATTCCACAGCTTTTATTCTATAAGAACATAAACATCGTCTTTTTTTCCACGCACAGCAGCAATACAATATTAATTTATTCTGTTTTAAGATTAGAAGTAAATAGAGCTAGAACTAACATTTATAATAATGATAGAATGCATTTGCTTAAAACAAGATTGGCAATTCTTCATAATAATAGACATTTATACAGATTTGTATTTATAGTTTTTTTCTTTTTCTGCACCTACAGGTTTGACCCTTTTATGCATGTAACTTCACAGTATAAAGGAAATCCAAACAATGTCTCCCTTCTCTAGTTTATTCTGCTTGCCCCAGTCCTCCTAGGCTTCTGTGAATTTCAGAAAGAAAAATACATTGTTAAAGGTGATTAAAAAAAAAAAAACAACAACTCCACAAGATAGGGAGAATTGTGGTGTGCTTGTCTCATGTTACCAGTGGTAACGATTTTAATGACAAAAAAACCCCACTAATTCCACATGTATGAACAAAACTACATTATTTATCTACAGCCAGAAGGATATGGAAATTCAGAGGTAAATGAAACATTTCAGTCAGGCAATGCGAGACCTTACACAAACTGGAAGAGAAGTTTCCTTCTCTTGGTCATTCTTTTTTTTTTTTTTTTCTTTTAAAGCTGGGGTAGCTTACAGAGGAAGGAAAAATTAATCTTTCTGACGCTTTCCTTCTCACTTTTTCAATCAGCCAAAGTCAAGCCCTGTTGCCAACCTGCATGCCCATGCCTGTAAGCCCTTCTCTTGGTCAAGGAAGAAAGGATGAAAGAAAAAAGAAACCCAGAGGCCTGTATCCCCTGATTAAACACAGCCCAGCACTCCAGGCAGGCGTGCGGGTGGCGACTACTTGCACCATTGACCTCAGGCCAGACACCTCAGCGCCGACAATGGGACCTCGGCCTTCCGCCTAGGTTTGCCCTGGGCTGGGCAGGAAACCAGCTCAGCCGAGGACAGGGGTCATTTCGAGCAGTGGGACCTCAAGACAGCAAACCCAGCCCAGTCAGGATTTGACACTTGGGACAATATCTCTCTCTATAGAATTTTAGCACAATATGGCTTTTTCCCCCAGAAGACAACAAATAAACCAGCACCAAGCAAACACAAGGAAACAAAAAGTCAGAACAAACCAGCCCTGCACAGATGGAACGGCCCAGGAGATGGCGAGTGTGGGAGGGAAGAGCAGGGCTTCAGCACAGGTGCGAGTTCCTGGGCAGAGGCTGAAGACAGAGGGAGGGGACGGGCGCTCTGGAAGCGAAAAACACGGCGTCGTCTGGAGCTTCATCAGGAAAAATTAAAGTTAGCTGTGAGCTCCCGGATCCGGTTTTCTCGGTTCATTTTCTTCAGTTTCATCCTGCGGTTCTGAAACCAGATTTTCACTTGTCTGTCCGTGAGGTGGACGCTGCGGCTGATCTCTAGGCGCCGCTCTCGAGTTAGGTACATGTTGAACAGAAACTCCTTCTCCAGCTCCAGTGTCTGGTGCTTCGTGTAGGGACAGCGCTTTTTCCGGCCGCTTTTCGCCGTGAGCCAGTTGGCTGCGTTTTCGCCTTTGGAATTGCCTGGCGTTTAAGGGAATAAAGAGGGGGAGGTTAAGTCGAGGCCACGCGTACCGCGCGCGCGGGGGTGAATGCCCGACGTTTCTCCCAGAAGAGAGACGTCCTAAGGCAGAGACAAGGTTTATGACCACTCCTCTGGCTTGCGGAGAACAAGCAGCTCCTCCAAAAAGCATGGCCTCCCATGGACACCCTCCAAATTTACATTTTCCTCCACTTTTTTCCTCCCCTAAACACCTGTTTCAGCATAAAGCTGGAGGTGCTTGCGGAATGAAAGGCCTGGGAAGGCAGGCTGTACATCTTGAACTTAACGCCTTTCTTTGCGTCTTGCCTTACAGCGGACAAGCATTTCCTGCAGCCCCAGGCTGGGAGCGCGGGGTGCCTCCCTGGAAGGTAGGCCGGCGGTCGGGCCGTCTCATCCCAGGTCCCTAGTGGCCCGAGGCCCGATGAGGGGAGGGAGAAGGGCATCGTTGGGCCCACGGGGAAGGCACGGAAAAGCGATTGGGGGACCAAGGGTGCTCCCTCACGTCTCCCCAGGAGCCAGGGGTATGGAGCGGGGCGATTTCCAGTTCCAGGGGAAGCGACATGGCCCCTCTCTGGCTCTCAGCTCAGGGCCCCAGTGTCCAGGCCGGATTTGCCTTTTCTTCTCCCCGCACCGAGGATTCCCGCCCCTCCAGCAACTTTGAAAAAAGCATGGGGGATCGTAAACTCGAACTTCGCCGGTTAATGGGCTTATTTATTGGCGCTGGCGGCTGCTTATTTTGGATGCCTTACAAACATCCGCGCTATCTGCGGGTGAGCTGCTTTCCCTCCCTCCCCCTCCCCCCGCGTGGGCCGCGCCGCGCAAACTGGGCAGGGACCAGGGCTCGGGTGCTCCGGGCCACAGGGAAGAGCACAGGAGGGGGCCTGCCCACGGGTGTCCTCGCCCCCAGTCAGGGGGAGCTGAGGCCAGCGCCCGGGACGTCTTGGTGTGGGGCGCTAAGCCGGACACGCATTTTACTGCGTCCCCACGCCCAAATATTAAAAAGCAAGTTCACAAGGTCAGCCTGCCGGCAGCTTGGGCCAAGGCCGGCCGGCTGCTGCGCGGGCTTCTGGGTCTCTGCCCCTTCCCTTCCTTCCCTT